TTCAGCAATATTTCGAAGATTTTGTCCGCGGTATCGCGTTCTTCTTCTTTCTTTGCAACCACGCATTTTAATGCCGTACCTTCCAGGTTGCTGAGTATGGCTGTGCATGCTTGCCTTTCATCATTTAAGTTATCTTGCTCTAGGTGTAATCTCATCACTTCCACCCAGGTGTCAATGCATCCATCGGAGTCGTCTTTGAATTCTTTTGGCTTCTTAAAAGTTTTTCTTGACTTTCCGTCTCTCCTATCGCTCGAGTCAGTGTTCCTCGTGGCGAAGTCCTCTAGAGTCCTGTTCATCATCTCCCAAGTGCTTGCCCACGTCATGGCATCCGGACCTGCGTTGCTGTTAGCTGTTGAGTCCCCTGGACCACTCATTGTGTTTGATGTTCCATTTTTCATGATTGTTTTTGCAGCCGTTGGTGCTGTGCTTACCGCATCCCGGGTTAAAGGCAACGGTGTCGATTGCCGTTTGTTCCTTTGTGGTTCTACAAAGTCAACTCTGGTGCCTTGCGTACGATCCGCTGCCGGTCTTTCTTGTGAGGTAGAATTTCTCAAGATTGCATCCAGTTTCGCCTGTATTGCACACGAACTTTCGGCCTGATCCCTGTTCATTGTGTCCATTCTCTTTTCCAGGCTACCTAATTGGCTGTTGACATCATCATATCGGTTTTTCAACTGTTGCATATCTTTTTTGATGTTCTTATCTCGTTCTTCATTGGTGGCATCTACCTTGTCCGACATCTGCTGGAGTCTCTCGTCTGTCGCTTTAGCCAGGTTAAAGTAACTATCCAGATACTCGTGTTTGTTGTATTTCAACTCTTTCCTTATTAAGTCTCTATCTTCCTCACTGTACTTTAGTTTTTTGTCGATCTGATTTAGTTTTGTCATCAGGTCGCCAAGCTCAAGAGTAGCTGTTTCATGATCAGCAGTTGTCTTGTTTTCGGCTGTCGCTCCAGTTCTGGCTTGTTCTTCCTTTAGGTCGGCTTCAGTCGCCTTCGTGCTCACTGTCCCAAATGTTCGTGCTCTTTCAGTTTTTGATTCTTCGGCCGTGTTGTCTCTCGACTTCCTTCCGACCATCATCGCCAACTTTTCTGTAAAAGATGTCTTCTTTACTTGAGAGTCGTCTTTCACAGTTTCTCGGGTATTGCCTGTTGTGTCTTCCAACGCGTCTATCGGCGAAAACTCCACTGTTTTTGGATTTTGATCTTCCATATGGGGCATCGGTGTGGATTCCGTTGTCTTCTTCTCCACTTCATCTACGCTCTGGTCTGGTGTCTCTAGATCGATTTCAATTGTGGGCTCCACCTGTTTGTCTTTAGCAACTTCTCTCGCCTTGTTCTCGGTACTACTCCTCGTGCTGACCATGCTAACTGAAAAGTTATCTTTTGTTTTCCTTGGGCCCATTGATGCCGTTCCGAGCAGCGACGAGTTATATTTCGTGTTTGATCCACTTGACCTTTTTTCGAGCACCGGTACCCTACTCCGTCTCATTGTTTCTATTTACAATTGCTCTTATTTACAATATTATTATATACACAATTCTATTCTAAGAATAAAATCTATTATGAAAAAAAAAATTCAAAAGGAAATATACAACGTGATAAAAACGATGTTCCCAGTTCTCTTTTCAAAACCTTTCGAGAAACTTTCTTTATTTGTGGTTTCAACCGTACCGCTTTCCGACTAGTATTGTTCTGTCTCAAAACACTTATCGTAATTTTACTTCAATTTTTATACCGTCCCAAGACTTCCAGTTACCGTCCCTACTCTTCTATGCACCGTCCCAGGCTTCTTTCTACTGTCCCAAGACTGTTCGGTACTGTCCCAGTACTCTCAGTCACTGTCCCAAGACTACTGTCCCAAGGCTGGTGTCCCAAGACTACTGTCCCAAGGCTAGTGTCCTAAGACCACTGTCCCAAGACTACTGTCCCAAGACTACTGTCCCAAGGCTAGTGTCCCACGACTACTGTCCCAAGACTACTGTCCCAAGGCTAGTGTCCCAAGACTACTGTCCCAAGGCTAGTGTCCCAAGGCTAGTGTCCCAAGACCACTGTCCCAAGACCACTGTCCCAAGACCTCTGTCCCAAGACCACTGTCCCAAGACCACTGTCCCAAGACCACTGTCCCAAGACCCCTGTCCCAAGACCACTGTCCCAAGACCACTGTCCCAAGACCACTGTCCCAAGGCTAGTGTCCCAAGACCAGTGTCCCAAGACCACTGTCCCAAGACCACTGTCCCAAGGCTAGTGTCCCAAGACCACTGTCCCAAGACCACTATCCCAAGACCACTGTCCCAAGACCCCTGTCCCAAGACCACTGTCCCAAGACCACTGTCCCAAGACCACTGTCCCAAGACCACTCTGGTCCAAGACTGTCCCAGGACTGCACTGTCCCAAGACTGTTGACAAGTGTCTGAGCGGTGGAACCTCTTTCTTCTTCGTTATGGGGACTTCTTGATTCACTGTACTTTGTACCACCACTCAAGCTCTAGTAAAAATTTTCCCAAAAACCCTCTCTTAGTGGCCAAATGCTGACCCCCCTTTTTATTTACCTCTTTTTCAATGTTCCAAGCAACTTGAAACCAAAACCTGTGCGCAGGTATCTTGTGATCACCTGTTCTTATACAAACCAAACACAAATCCTTTCAAAATGCAACAAAAATCTAAGCAAGAAAAAGTAATAAAAACAGAGAGATGAACCCACCTAAAATTCAAAGGTGACAAATGTCTACCTTCTATCGAAAAAATGTCTGGTACCTAATTGCCACGCGTTCTCTTCCCACCTGCTAGCGATCTTATGGGGTATCACAAAAACTGTCTATGTCCGTTCCCCCCTACCGATCCGACCAGGGTACCTACCTTAACTTGATTCTAATTTTGGATATCCGTTTCCTATGACCAACGTAAATATCTAATGTAACTAAGTCGACGACGCCGAGCAATTAGCTACTCTACTGTGTCCCCCCTTTTTACAAATTATAACCGCCAACCTCTAACTTAACCAGCCCCCTTCTAACCTCCCCCATTTTTAGCCCCCTTTCTTAAACCTAAAAATTACCTTAAGCGCCGGGTGCTAAACCTCTCAAGAGAAAACCGTAGACCTGTCTCCAGGCCTGCTTAAGTAAAAACGTTCCTCAAAACCGGGGGATTTCGCTTATCCAATTTTACACTTATCTCCTATAATGTAATGTGGATTTTAACGATACCCGTTCTGCCTAACTTGAGAACTCGAGAACTGCCAAATCCTTCTTGGCTACTTTCCCACTCGACTGGTCACCTCTTCCAGTCGAGTCTCCTATTGGTTCAGCTCAAGTGCTACTGAACCACTTTCCCACTCGGCTGGTCACCTCTTCCAGTCAAGTCTCCTTGTTGTCCAGCTAAGTTCCAAGCTATCTGAAAACCCTTGACAACGCCCCACACTCGGGCACTTTATTGAGGTTACTGGGTTAAATTGCTAGGTTGATCGAAACGATCGAACTTGTAAAACAGTATGGGTATACTATTTAATTAATATAAAGGTTTGATCCAACTAATCTGGTGTCAAAGTCACTGTCTTTTTTCGTTTTATGGTTTTTGTTCCTTTTTCTATTCTTTTTTGGTTTTTGTTTCGCTTTTTGTCTTTTTGCTCGTGTTTTTGTCCCCCTAGTTGCTCCCCTTTACTCGGTTAGCTAAGCCTCGTTCGGAGAGCGTACCAGGAAGTTTTCTCGAGTTTTCTTAAAAAGCTATCACGGTACAACCGGAAGGTTTGCACGTTCCTGTCGAACCGCACCGCCGGTACTCTAGAATGGGCATGTAGCCCGAAGCTGTCTCAAGTGGGTTCGAGTCCGTAGTCTTGATGTCGTAAACACCCAGGAGCGCCATAAAAACACTATGTAACATTCGTCTACTGTAGTCACACATGAGGCTTAAGAAAAATAGGCCCTATAACCATTGGCTCAAGAGTCAGGGACACTATCTCTTGTGTTTTTCTACCTCAAATCAGTCGGAGCCAATTCGGTTCGCTTGTGAGATGAGACTACGACCCGTTACAGCTTAAAGGCTACTACCGAAATATCCCCCCCCCCCCCCAATCTAGAAATAAGAACGTCCCCATACTTAGGTCTCTAGATACCCAAAATACATGAACGCCGTTAAAAACCGGGTCGGAACAATCCGTTAAGTTATTTTTTATTAGAAAGTGGAACTTTGATCCATTTCAGATGGATCAACCTAAAACTCGCCTTACCTCAACATAACAATCATAAAACACACTCTAGAAGTTTAAATTAAGGACGCTAAATTGATGCGCTCAAGCACAGGAGGTAATTAAATGGGTGAGCAACTCTAGAATTAACTAAGATAACTAGATAAGTTCAATGTTTGTCAGTTTGAATGGCAGAGGTAAGTTTGAACTCTAGAATTAAGTTTTATGTGAACCATTGGGACACTCCAGCTGTCCACCTTTCCGTCGAAGGTTCACTCTAGTCCAGTTCGAATAATTGTTCTCTCAGGAATACTCTGTCTTCTATTTCAGATAGGACAGCTCTACTCTTGTTCACTATGATGGAAATTGCGAATAGCAATTTCCCACTTGTTTTTTATCTGACAACTTTCCCGCGATTGTTATTCGATCGTTCTGATTTCTCTTTTTCGGTTTTTCAGTTATCGCGAGAAAATCGTGCATGACAGGCTCCATTCGAATTTTTGAAAAATTAAATTTCACCCCAAAATTAAGTGCTCTTGCTTTTCTCAAGGTCAAACTTCCAAATATGACCGACTGGCACAGAAAGACTTTAATTACCTTTTATGGGGTAAATCAAAATTTTCAAAATAGAGAAAAGGACCGAACAACTAAACAAAGAACGAATGACTAAAAAGCAAAATCAATTAAAAACAATAAAACGTAGCAAATGGACTGTCGTTTGTTATCAGATCGGGTGGATCCTTTGAAGCCTATTCTACTGCTACTACTACTTTAATACTTTTAACCGGAGTTTTTGATTATTTGTTACAGGAAGTGCTAAACGGTTGTCTGAGTGTTAGGTTTCTTTTATAGATAATTTTAAACTGAAAAGAATGAAGTGGGTTTACAAGGAAGAGCATCCTTTTGAGCAACGAAGAGCAGAGGGCGAAAAAATCCGAAAGAAGTATCCGGATCGAGTTCCTGTGAGTTTTTAAAAAATAGAATAAAAAAGCGCTATTCTTTGTATACGGGGGTGCAGATCACTGCGTAAGACTCAATTCATAGACAATTCAATTAGTGCTATTATAGAGGAGGGACGGTTGAAGTAAATGCCTTTAATGACTTTTCATTAAAAGCTGACTTGACTTAATTCCTTGCAATATTGCTTACGGATGTATTTATATAATGCTGGTATCGGCCCTATCCAGCTTGTGCACGACCGTAACTAAACGGAAGGGCCCCTTAAATTTACCCTTTTTTTAAATGAAAATGGAAAGGTTATCACTAAAGATAACGGCTAAATTTAAAGAATTGGGCTGATTCGACGTCAATGCTACTTCTGTGCTCAAACAAGAAGTCATACTAGTAATCTTGAAAACAGACACTAATTATATTATTTTTTCTCAAAACGGAGTTGAGTTGCGTGTTTCATGAATTTGGGAACTCCGATTGCGGAATTGGAATATCTTGCTATTGACTAGCCAAGTATAAATATTGTTTAGAGCTATCGTAGGATGGATTTTAAAAACCTAGAAAACCTACTAGATAAAAGTTTATACAATTAGCTCGATATAACATCAAGCCGTGTATTAGATTGTACTTAGAACCAACGGAAAAGCATCCGCAATTCTCTAGTTATATAACAATATGCATATTTTGTAGGTTATCGTCGAGAAGGCTCCTAAGGCGAGGATTAATGATCTGGATAAGAAGAAGTATCTGGTGCCGTCTGACTTAACAGTTGGTCAGTTCTATTTTCTGATAAGAAAGAGGATTCACCTGAGAGCAGAAGAAGCACTATTCTTCTTTGTGAACAATGTCATTCCCCCAACCAGCGCAACGATGGGGTCTCTATACCAGGTTCGCACTAATGAAGCAGTCGGAATCAAGGTTTTTCCGACCCCTGGAAAAAACAATCAGCTTGCTGACATATTTTTATTATTTAGTTTGCATTTTTTTTAGAACTGTTAAGAGTCTGCATTGAAGTTTTTTACAGCAAGACAGTTTTTCAAACAATGCACTTTTGTTGCGAACTGAAATTTAATGGAAAGCTGTATCAAGAAGCTATTCCGATTTCTACAGGTTAATTCAAAATAATGTGCCGATTTATACATATCAAGTTAACTTTTTTCAATTGAAAAATGTTCTTCATCTAATAATTGTTTCAGGAGCACCATGAGGAAGATTACTTTCTTTACATTGCGTATAGCGACGAGAGCGTGTACGGAAAGGACGATTAGATGTAAGAATAAGAATACATTGGATCCTCCGAAGCAGCAAATTATCTCAAATAGATCAACTGTAATGTAGTATTGCAGCTCATGAAAGACTATTGAACAATAGACATAGCTATTCATAATCTCCCCTCACGGAACCGGTTTTCTATTTCAAATTAATTAGATAAATCAGTTGTATTGCAATAAATTTGCTCTACATGTAACTCAATAGAATTGATAAGTAATAATCTTTAGTTAGTTGAAAATAGTAGCCCAATGCTCCAATTAAGGTATAGATGTGCTTACGTTTAATTTAGAATGAGTGACCTTGAAACCTTTTAATACCCCGCAACGTGTATGCAAGTTTTCTTCAATAAAAATACTTCATCGAAAGGTAATGGGTTATTGAAAGGTCACTAAATGGAAGATATGCTTCAAATAAGCCAATTTTAATATTATTTTACAGTCTCTTTAAAAAAAAAAGATTTAGGGCAGGCAAAGTGGTTAGCATATGTATCGAATTAGAATGCGATCCTTGTTTTAATCTGCCCAGCTGGATGATAAACCAATGAACCGGTATTTTCCACAAGATATGAGTATATTAGTAGTCTTGTCATGGGAATTGAAAGTCATTTCTATGAGCTTTCAAATGTACTAATCTATTCTTATATAATTAAGTGCGGGATTCACTATCTCGCCACGTTTAAGCTGTAACAACGTATTATTATTGCATGTTTAGCCCAAGAATGTTTTCACGTTTAAGCTATATCGTATATTAAGATTTTTTTCGAATTTCCAGTTTGAATTTAGTGCGTATTTCACCAAGTTTCAAATAAGAAGCCCAATAGTGGGATGCTGCCAGGATTTCCCAAGGGGTTGCGAATTTGACCTCCTAATAAGAATGCCCAAATCCGTTTAGTGTACGAGATACGACGTTTTTGTGATTTTTTTTTTAAAATTCAGGGGTTGCGAACGTTGCCTCCAAATTTCTCATATTTCTGTAGTTTTCCAGATATGAAGTTTTATGTGATTTTTAAAAATTTTTCTGAAAACATTAATTTAATTTTTTTGAATATTTGGAATTGCTAACCCTATAATTGGGTGCTGTCAGGGTACTCAGAGAGGTTGCAAATCTTGCCTGTAGATACGACTGCTCAAATCCTCGTAGTTTTCGAGATATGTGGTTTTTAATGATTTTTCCCAAATTCTCATTAAACTTAGATTGGGTGCTGAGTTAATTTCATAAGTAAGTTCACTGACTCTGTAATCTCCAAATGAGGCGAAGATTTCTTATTTCTCGTCCTTGTGTGGGTTTTGGCTGATCTCTGTCTATGAAGTCTGTTATTGCGTGCACATGCGTATTTCAGAGACTTTGAAAACGCTTTTGACCTAGATCTTTTTTTTTCGTCTTTATATTTTCCCCAGGCTTGAAATTCGCTAAAAAATTGGAAACGTCTCAATCTAAATTTAATTCTTCCCTTTGTCTGTTGAATTTTATATCAATTTCGAATCAGCTTACAATTCTCTATTTTTTTTGACGAACACAAACTGTTTTTGTTTGTCATTTGCTTACGAAGCGTGATGTTACATGGACAAGCATATGTTTGAACTAATGAAGACACCCATAACTGAATCAGTTTTCGAACTTGTGAATTTATATATATGTATTGTCTTCGCTTGATTAAATTAAGTACTAATTTTGGAAATTTCTTTATTTATTTTTTCTCTGTGTTTTTTTGACTGATCTCTGTCTATGAAGTCTGTTATTGCGTGTGCATGTATGCCTGAGTTATTGAAAACGATTTGGATCTAGATCATTATGTTCGTCCTGACAGTTTTTCCTGGCTTGAAATTTGCCAGAAAATTTAAAAACCTCTCACTCTAAATCACTTTCCTCCTTTTATCGGTTAGTTTTTATATCAGTTTTGAATTAGCCCAAATTTCTCTCTGATTTTTGGAGAACACAAACCTTTTCTGTTTGTCATTGGTTTATGAAGCGTGATGTTTCATGGACAAGCATGTCTGAACTATTGACTAACCCATAACTGAATCAGTTTTCAAACTTGTTATTTTGTAAATCTGTATTGGTGTCGCATGACGAAATTCAAAACTAATATAAAAACTTCTTCATCTATCTTCTTCTTGCGTTGTTTTCGGCTCATCTTTGTCGATAAAGACTGTTATTGCGTGTGTATTCATATTTCAGAAATATTGAAAACGATTTCGATCTATGTGCTTCTACCAAAGTCACCGTCAATTTTTCCATTGATGCATGACTTGCTCAGTAAAAACAATCATTTTTAGTTAAGATAACGTTTTCGATTGATTACAATCATCATCAATCTAAAAAAGGAAAAACAATAAACGTACAATAAACTGTTTTTTTTTATGTTTTTCATTTTTGATTTTCTGTTTGAACACTTTGGATTGAACGTTTATTGTTTTTCCTTTTTTAGACCGACGATGATTGTAATCAATCGAAAACGTTCTCTTAACTAACATTGATTGTTTTTCCTGAGCAAGATTTCAATCTACAATCGTCCTTAAAATTTTTCTTGGCTTGAAATTCGCTAGAAATAATATTGCATTGGCAAATATATGTCTCGAGTCAGCTTATAATTCGCTTTAAATTTTGGCGAAGACAAACTGTTTTTTTTGTCATTTGTTGATGAAGTGTGATGTTGCATGGACCAGCATATGTCTGAACTAATGAAGACACCCATAACTGAATCAGTTTTCGAACATGTGATTTTTGATATCTGTATTGTCTTTGCTTGATGAAATTTAAGACTAAATAAAAATTTCTAAATTTATCTTGTCCCTGTGTGGTTTTTGGCTGACCTCTGTCTTTGAAGTTTGTTATTGCGTGCACATGCGTATTTCAGAAACTTTGAAAACGCTTTTGACCTAAATCTTTTTTTTTGTTCTTGCTTTTTTTTCCTGGCTTGAAATTCGCTAAAAAATTGAAAACGTCCCAATCTAAATTAATTTCTTCCCTTTGTCTGTTGAATTTCATATCAATTTCGAATCAGCTTACAATTCTCTATATTTTTTGAAGAACTTAAACTGTTTTTTGTTTGTCATTTGTTAACGAAGCGTGATGTTGATGGACCAGCATATGTCTGAACTAATGAAGGCACCCATAACTGAATCAGTTTTTAACATGTGATTTGTTTTATCTATTGGCTTCGCTTGATGAAATTGAATATAAATTAGGAAAAGTTCATGATTTATCTCTTCCTTGTGTGGTTTTCAGCTGATCTGTCTATGAACTTTGTTATTGCGTGTACATGCATATTTTAGAAAAATTGAAAACGATTTCGATCGATATCATTATATTTGTCCTTACAATTGCTCCTGTCTTGAAATTCGCTAGAAAATTTGAAAACGTCTCAACTGAATAACTTTTTTCCTTTGTCTGTTTATATTTATATCTCTTCTGACTTAGCTCAAAGTCCTCTGCTTTTTGAAGAACAAAAAGTTTTTGTTTGTAATTTGTTTACGAAGCGTGATGTTGCATGGACAAGCATATGTCTAAACTAATGAAGACCTTCATAACTGAATCAGTTTTCGAACATGTGATTTTTCTTATCTGTATTGTCTTCGCTTGATGAAATTTAAGACTAATTTTAAAGATTTCTAAACTTATCTTATCCTTGTGGTTTTTGGCTGATCTCTGTCTATGAATGTTGTTATTGCGTGCACATGCGTATTTCAGAATCTTTGAAAACGCTTTTGACATAAATCTTTATTTTTGTCTCTATAATTTTTCCTGGCTTGAAATTCGCTTAAAAAAAATTGAAAACGTCTCAATCTAAATTAAATTCTTCCCTTTGTATGTTAAATTTTATATCAATTTCGAATCAGCTTACAATTCTCTATTTTTTTGACGAACACAAACTGTTTTTGTTTGTCATTTGTTTACGAAGCGTGATGTTGATGGACAAGCATATGTCTGAACTAATGAAGGCACCCATAACCGAATCAGTTTTTGAACATGTGATTTGTTTTATATATTGTCTTCGCTTGATGAAATTGAATATAAATCAGGAAAAGTTCATGATTTATCTGGTCTTTGTGTTGTTTTTGGCTGATCTTTGTCTATGAAGTATGTTATTGCGTGTAGATGCATAATTCAGAAAAATTGAAAACGATTTCGATCCAGATCGTTATATTCCTCCTAACAATTTTTCCTTGCTTGAACTTCGCAAGAAAATTGAAAACTTCTCAATCCAACTCACTTTCTTCCCTTTGTCTCTTAACAATTTTTCCTGGCTGGAACCTCGCTTGAAAAATTAAAAACGTCTCAATCTGAACCACTTTCTTCCCTTCGTCTGTTGAATTTTTTTATCAATTTTGAATTAGCTTACAATTCTTTCTAGCTTTTGACCAACAGAAACTGTTGTTGCTTGTCATTTGTTCATGAAGAATGATGTTGTATGGACAAGCATATTTCTGAATTAATATAGACAACCATAAAAGAATCAGTTTTCAAACATGTGATTTTTTTATATGTATTGTCTTCGCTTGATAAAACTCAATCCTAATTTTGAATACTTCTTTATTTATCTTGTCCTTGCGTTGTTTTTGACTGATCTTTGTTTATGAAGTCTGTTATTGCGTGTACATGTATGCCTGAGTTATTGAAAACGATTTCGATCTAGATCAATTTGTTTGTCCTGACAGTTTTTCCTGGATTGAAATTCGCCAGAAAATTCAATAACCTCTCACTCAAAATCACTTTCCTCCTTTTATCTGTTAATTTTTATATCAGTTTTGAATTAGCCCAAACTTCTCTCTGATTCTTGAAGAACACAAACTGTTTTTGTTCGTCATTTGTTTATGAAGCGTGATGTTGCATGGAATGGACAAGCATATGTCTGAACTAATGAAGACACCCATAACTGAATCAGTTTTCGAACATGTGATTTTTCATATCTGTTGTCTTCGCTTGATACATTTCAATAGTATTTTTGAAAGTTTCTTAGTTTATCTCGTCCTTGTGTTGTTTTTGACTGATCTCTGTCTATGAAGTTTGTTATTGCGTGTACATGCATGCCTGAGTTATCGAAAACGATTTGGATCTAGATCATTATATTCGTCCTCACAGTTTTTACTTGCTTGAAATTTGCCAGAAAATTCAAAAATCTCAATCTAAATCACTTAACTCCTTTTATCAAACAATTTTTTTAAAAGTTTTCAATTAGCCCAAACTTATATCTGATTTTTGAAGAACAAAAACTTTTTCTGTTTGTCATTTGTTTATGAAGCGTGATGTTGCATGGAGAAGCATATGTCTGAACTAATGAAGACACCCAATACTGAATCAGGTTTCGAACATGTGATTTTTCATATCTGTATTGTCTTCGCTTGATGAAATTCAAAACTAATTTTGAAAGTTTCCTAATTTATCTCGTCCTTGTGTTTTTTTTTTGGCTGATCTCGACAATTTCGACTTAGATCGT